GTGCCAAAAACTGCGGTATAAAAGAAAAGCAATCAAATGCCAGGCTGTGATTCCAACCCCGTTTATTTGCAAGCCCCTTCCACTGAGACCAATGGGCACAACAGTGAGATATGTAGTCCATAAAGGCGTCTGAAAATTGGGAGTGTTGGGCTTAGTACAAGGCAGGAGAAAACAACTGCTTAACGCAGGCTGAGCGGTGCCGGTTCCCAAATTATTGCAGTGATTATCTTTCGACATAACCATCTGAATTATCTGAAGCAAAAGGAAGCATGTTAAGAGTAGTATCTCGAATTCCCTAGGAAAAAGCCTGCAAGGAGATAAGGGGTTTTTTTTAATGCTGAAAAGGCAAGCGCTATTTTCTTTTCTTTTTTTCCCCCCTTCTCTCCTGATTTCTCCCTGCATGAAAGCCTTTGATTAATATGCTGGGAGAGGTGACTGGATCACAGTGGTTTTCATGGATAACATTTAAAGTACCTTCTCCAAAATAGACTCCATTCCACGGTTACTAATACCAGCCAAAGAACTCTGGAGAAAAAGTTGTTAATAGTCTGGAGTGGGAAGTTAATTAAAATATATACAGGAGAACATGAATTTATTTATTTTTCTCGCTAGCCTGGAGAGACTCATTTACCAGTAGCACATGTTTCTAGCTCCTATCCAAATCAATCCTCTGCATGCCATAAGGGTCAGGTTTTACTTCCTTAACATATACAAAGAGCCCCAGAACTAAAGTCTGGCCATTCTGGTAATTTCAACAATTCTTTCGCCAGGCCTGCTGCAAGGAAAATGGGGCCCTGCTTCTTTGAAGGCTAATATTGGAGAGAGAAAGAGAGAGAGGGAGAGGGAGGGAGGGAGGGAGGGGGAGAGAGAGAGAGAGAGAGAGAGAGAGAGAGAGAGAGAGAGAGAGAGAGAGAGAGAGAGAGAGATTCATAGAAAGTCTTGTTCAAGCTGAACTATCTCACTCCGTGTGCCTTTAAAAAATAATTTCAAAATAAAAATGCTAGCATGCGTTTAAGCAGGCTCATCCTTAGGTTAGAAAATGAATTGGCAGGAGGGGATGGGAATGTACTGTTGTATTAACATAGCAATTTCATGCAATGCAATATTGAAAGAGCCATAAACAACCAGCTGGCTGTAGATATACACATTTAATTGCATACATGAAGCCTGGTCTGAGAAAAGGACAGAATTGTTTCCTCTTTTTATTCCACCATCCATCTTTCCTTCCTTCCTTCCTTCCTTCCTTCCTTCCTTCCTTCCTTCCTTCCTTCCTTCCTTCCTTCCTTCCTTCCTTCCTTCCTTCCTTCCTTCCATTTTATAAGAAGCAATCAAATCTATTTTGAAATAACATTTGCATCCCGCTGTCCTTTATGTCTTAAAAATTAAAAAGTGTCCTAAAAAGTTGGGTCGGCTGCAAAAAAATAATAATTAAATCTCTCAAGGATGAAAGCAGTCAGCGGACCTTGCAGTTTATTTGCCATATATATGTGCATTGGGCCTTTGTTTTTCTTTTTTTCTTTTCTTTTCTTTTCCTTTTTTTTAAGTGGAAACCAAAAGGAATGTGAGACTTCCAGCCTTCATTCTTCTGTTTTATGGTAGTCAGGGAATTGACTTTGGTGGTTCAAATTCAAGGGCTCCACAGCTGTCTTTTCTGTGTTTCTTCGCAGGAAGCCGACAAATCCTATATACTTTTTTTTAAACCGGGCATTAAAACAGGCAACAGCGCTGGGCTTGTTCAAACTTATATCTACCTATTAAGAGCAGTAAATTATTCACACACCTAGAGGAAAGAGCCTCAGACATTACGCCCCACATACTTTTAGCCACAATCCTTTAGATCTCTTCTGCTCACCACCAAAGGAGTTGAATAAAATGGGGAAGTAATTCTACCCCAAGTGCAAAACTGAGGGTGACTGGGAGGTGTGTGTGTGTGTGTCTCTGTGTGTGTGTATAGAAGGGATCTGGTCAAAGGCAAACACAGTGCTTTTGCATCAGACATGGAATGGAGCATCTTTCCCCAGTCAGCCTTAACTGAAAAGATCTTCGCCCAGGCAGGTTTCAGAGTGTTGGAGGGGGGGGGGTTGAGGAGGGTGTGAATGGATGAGGAATAATAAGCCTTGTAAACAATACCTTTCATAGTGGGTTGTATGTAGGAACATTACTCTATAAAAGGCGAGGGGAAGATTCCCTGATGCTTTAATGGACAGCTGGGAGAGGCCAAAAAGAGGCTCCAGTCTCCTCAAAATAAGGCAAAAGGCAAGGCTTGAGAAATTGAGATCTGCTTCAATGGCAAGGCACGGGACCTCCTTTTCATCCTGGCACAGAGGTGCCTCATTCATTCGGATAGGGGAAGGTGGAGGAGTCTGGAGGAGGAATTGGCATGGTTGGAAAGTTACTTATCCAGAGGAAGAGATTTGTAAAACAGCCCAAATCCTATCTGTTGGTGAGGATAGCCTCGGAGGCAAGTTTAATCCTTTGGCTTATGAAATGCTACAGACCTCCCTTGACTTTGCTCCAGCTTATCCTGAAAGGTCCCTAATAAAGCCTGGGGGGGGGGGTGGCAGGCTTTCTGACACACACACACACACATTTTATTTAAAAGGTGCTACCGGGCCTTTTGATTTGGACTGCCATAAACTAACAGGGCTCTCCTGTTACAATATCAACAGAAGGCTCTGAATAAAAAAGGCTTCCAACAGTGGCCACCTTGGCTTTAGATGACATGCCTCAATGCCAGGTGTACCACCCTGGGAAGGGTACTTCAGTCCACACACCCCCTCTTAACCCACCACTACAACCACCCACAGGCATTAACAAGGTTTTGGTCTTTTATGAGGTATGGTCCATCAAGCTGATCTCTCTCTCTCTTGCTGTAAAGTAACTTGCCTATTAGCTGCGGTTCCATTTGGCTCCGTGTGCTGAATCCTTCCCAGAAAATAGTCCCGGAAACCTGGTTTACCTGCCAACAAACCCTTATCTGTTGCTTTGAAAGTCAAGCAAGATCACCCTAATCAAAAGGCTGTCAGTGAAAATACATCAGAAGGGCAAATCAGGTCATCTGAAGTAGTTCCCTTTTCTTTCTTGTTTTCTTATTAGAATTGCATTTTAAAAGATTCCTGCCAGCCTATCTTCCAGAGAAGAAAAAATTGTCTTGCAAATTAGTGCACAAACAACATCCTTAAAGTATTCTCGCATAGGGGGCCACTACAATTCTGGATTTCCACAGTTCTTCCTGTGAATTTAGTTTCCCACAACACATATCGACAGGATATCACTACCAAAGTCACTTTACTCTCCTGATACTAAGTGAATTTTCTTATGGGGCTTTTAAACTGTCCCAAAGTGGAGCCAGTGATAAAGGCAATAAAGGCAGGAGGATTTTATCTAAACAAAGCAAAATTGTGGGTGATTTCCCCGCTCCCAACCCATCTCACTGCCCAAAGGTGGAACAGACTGAAAGAACAGAATGGAGCAAACAGAATCAGCAAGAAGTAAATTAAAGAAGAGAAACATAAAACTCGGGAGGGGGGGGA